TAAGTGAAAAATACACAGTTCATGAAACACCCATTCATTCATCACCATTGAGTGCCAGGTGTTTGCCAGACACTGTTGTAGGCACTAGGGATACACTGGTAAACAGACTGCCTGCATTTATGCAGCCTAGTTTATGGGGGAAATAAGCAGAACATGTATTAGATGATGTTAAGTGCCAAGGAAGAAAACTAAATGTTCAAAGGGGGACAGTAGGTGGGTTGAAATTTGAGCTAGATCAATTGAGAGCCCAGTGAGCATGAGTATAGACTTGAAGGAAGCTAAGGAGGGAGTCATGGAGAGACCTGAGCAAGAGCACCGCAGGCAGAAGGAACAGCAATGTGAAGGCCTCAGTGCAGGAGTGGGCCTGAGTGTTTGCAGGATGCTGGGAAGGCTGGGGGCCTGGGGCAGAGCGAGCCAAGGGTTCAGACTGGCTGAGTGGAGGTAATAGGGACCTAGATCTTTAGGGCCTTGCAGGTAATGGGGGGAGATGATGGCACCCGAGGCCAGGGCTTGCCCCAGTTTAATATAAAATCCTGTTGTCTTCAGTGTTGTCGAAATGTTATCAAATGTGCATGCAGTTGAATTTTACTTTACAAATCTAGCAGAGGTTGCAGTGGAGTTTTACTCTGCACACCTGATACTACTGACGTAAGTGAATTCGTGTTACAGTGTATGAGTTAGTGGGTATATGCAGAGCCCTTAGTTTCAATATTTTATTTAAATGTATACTTAATTTTTATTCTTTCCTCTTTACACATTAAATTACAGGTAATATTTAACAATTTAGTGTAATCTTTGTTTAGCAAAGCTATTTCCTGTTCTGGAATATAAGTACAGTTACAGCAGACTAGATACTGAGACAAAATTGGATTAATTAGAATGACTGGTTGTGAACAGGGACTTAAGAGTAAGTGTGGAATAGGATTTCACATAGAATAGAATTGTTAAGTCAGATCAGCAGGCATGTCTTTGTGGGCCGTCTGCCAAGACTAGAAGTAGCCTTGGTACCTGCTACTGCCTTGAACATATATTTGCATTCCATCTCCTGTCAACATGAGATGAAACAAAGAAGAATAAAATCAGAATTTTAGAACTAGAATGAATCTTGAATACTGTCTAGTCTAATCCTTTGGTTTTACAAGTGCAGTTTTTCCAGAGCACTCATACTTTTTCTTCATAAGAGCTCTTTAATATAACTCACATAGATAGTTGATAAAAGAATGAGAATTTAACTCACCTTAACCTAATGTTGTATTGATCTTCTGATAGTTGTCCCAAATATCAGATGACTGAAAATGACAGCATTAGGAAGAAACTCCGTAATACTGTGTAAGATAGTGATTCTCAAACTTGATGGTGAATGGCCCTCACCCAGGAAGCTTGTTTTTTTAAATGTAGGCTTTCTCTGGTTCCCTCCTGAGATGTGGAATCAGTAGGTCTGGGATAGGACCCAGTAAATCTGTGTTCATAAAGACCTGGGCCTTGCCCTTAAAAAAAACATTGGTTTCAAGGAGTACAGGAGAGCGAGAATTAAAAAGTGAGATTTTGGTCACTAATCATCTCTGAGGTCTGACTTCCAGAATTTAGAAAAAAGTGAAAAACTACTTGGGGTCTCGCTCTTTTGAAGAATTTGTTTCCCTCTTACCTAGATGTAAGGGCAGAGGAGAGATACTTAGTGATGATTTTTCCTCTGTCATCAGAACCTTAGGGTCATTATGATACAAGTCATTGAATCCATATGACCACATGGTACTGCACATGATGACAGAAGGTCGTTCAAAGTGAAACAAACTGAGAATATTTGGACAACCCACTAGTCTGTCATTGCTGAGATGCGACTAGAATTGAGCAGAGAATACTAGGATACTCAGCATTCACGGAGAGTACATGGACTGTCGTAGCACTGGGTTATAATGAGGCCCCCTTTTCTTCTTTAGCAGCTGGAATATTCTCCAGTGTTGGCCTGACTACCCATCGGTGCTAAGTGCATATTAAAAATTACGGTGCTGGTTGATTAGGTCGAGTAGAATGTGTGTGTGTTAGGGAGATCTTTATGGAGTGGAGATCTTTTTCATTACATAGTTGTACAGTTACCTTAGTAATTAATAGGCAGGAATATAGTTTTAATTGAAAAGAAACCACTTGCCTTTAAAAGCATTATAGAGAGAATTTTATGCTTGATAAGTTTATTCCAGGTCTTTTTTAAGTCATCGCAATTAAAATTGCAAATATAATGCTAGTTTTAAGAAAAAGCGTATAGAAGTTATTTCTTCCAAATTATCTCATTGCTATTAAAATTTTTTTAGCCATATTGTGAGAAAAATGAGGATTCAATTATAGATATTTGATGTGAAGAGAATTTTTGTAAAGGAGCTGGAGAACAGGAATATGACTTACGCCATCTGTAAGGTTATTAGTAAACTCATAGAAAGAACTTAGTGGGGAATACCTCTTAAAAAAGTGGTTTTAAAATAATTTGGTGTTTTAACCCGAGGACTTCTTTATAGCTTTGTGGGTACACTGTTTCTAGTCCCATAACTGATTTTTATCACTCTGTGATAACAACATATACCCTGATAAAGACTGACTCCTGTATATTTGATTTTAAAACTATTAAGATGTGGTAAAGGGTCAGTAAACCAAACACCATGGACAGCAGCATCAGCTGTTTGTCAGGTTGTGTTGTACGTGCGTGTGTGTGTGTCCAGGTGTGCTTGCCTTTACGCAGTAAGTACCTACACATTGTATGTAAGTTGATTACTTTTGAATGTAAGCAGTTTAAATAAAACCTGTGGTGAGTCCCTTTATTGTTAAATGTCAGTCGACACTAACTTAATCTGTTTTGTAAATTTGATTTTAATATATTGGGCTTTTTCAGAGTGAAGCCTCTATATGCATATGAAATATGAGCATGCATATATATGTACAGAAGCCCTTCAAAGGGAGTTCAGCTTTCTTTTATAAACACCAAAACCCACTCCTCCTGTAAAATGCCTTTGCTCAAGTTCGCATCATTGACCCTTCACCCTTGTTTGCATAGCTACTAGGACTATCATGCATGGAGATTTTCGTCAGCTCCCTCCTTCCCCCTCAATAAATCAGCTAACTTAAAAAAAAATTGTGACCATTTCTATAAAATAAATGTTCATAAAACAAGTCAGCATATTCAGCTTATACAGAAATAAAAATTAAATTATTCCACTCACAGGAGGAATTTCTATTTTGTAAAAATGTAGCTTGTATTTCGAAGTATAATAAAATCTGGTGTAAGAATAACTATTGAGTGGATTAAGTGATTATTCTGAATAACTTTACTTTTTTAGTGTCAACAGTTATTTGACGTGATGGTGGGAAGGAGGTATAAGGATGAGGTTAAACAAGCTTAAAATTGCAATGGAAGTTCGTTGGCGTATTTCAATGAGATATGTTAGTGTAACGTAGACCACTTAACACAAATGAAAACCCAGCAATATCACTTCCTCATTTTCTCTGTGTGCTGACATCTGAGTCTGCTCAGTCACACTGGGACCCTAGAACCGTGAAAACGAACCTGTGAAGGACTGGTTTGTAACACCACCAGGAATTAAAGGGCAAGTCACGATTCAGCACAGCAAACAGCAGCATTTGCAGCTTTCAGACTGGCCTGGTTAACGGTCCCCTAGGGATTAGTGCTAGTTTGTGAAAAGTTTGTATTCTGCCTTCTCCTCTCTTCATTTACCAAATGTTCTTTGTACTCTTGATTCTTCTCTTTCAAAGTAGACCTTTAGTTTTCATCCTTGAACACAGTTTGAGCCTCTCTTTCATTTCTATATTTAATCCAAACTTGTTTCCCCTCTACCCCTAAAACATCAGTTTTTTTCCCCTGGTTAGTTGACTTTTTTGGGTATTGAGTGACTTTTTTTTTTTTTACTTTCATTGATTAGTTTGAGTGACTTTTCATAACAGCATAATTCCATTATCTATTATGAAATAAATTATCCATCTCCTAGATTTCATTGCGCTATGGTGCTTTGAAAAGGGAGTACCTTTTTGAGAGGCAGCCTTCCTTCGACACCCCCACCTCCTTGCTAAGTCTGGCACCTCCCCAGTTCTCACATGGAAACCACCCAGGTAATCCATCTAAAATAGAAAATTAACCTGCCCCATCCTTACCTGAATCCTTTCACTGGTTTCCTATTCCTTATCCACCAAATAAATTCAAAGTTAACAAGCAGTATAAGTAAGATACAGCTTCTGCCTACATCTCCATCTTGATACTGCCTACTTCAGCCTGAATGCTCTGTTTGCCTGCTTGTACCACACAACTTCACACCTCTACGTGAACTGTTCCCTCTGCCTGGAATGCCTTTCCTCTGTCACCAGCTGGCCAACTCCTGCTTATCCTTGGAAGACCCATTGAAGGCATTCTCTTTCTCCAAGAAGCCCAGTGCTCCTTTGTCAAGGCCTTTGGTGTACTGAATCCTGATTTGCCGTCTGTTCATGAGACCACAAGCTCTTCTGCAGTGGGATCACTGACTCAATTTTTTTTTTTTTTTGCTTTGTATTTCTTTCCAGAACCAAGTACAGGTTCCTGGACGATGAGGGGGAGATGGTGTGCAGAACCATTGACACTTACTTATAGTGACAACCATTTTAAAGACTAAACATGTAACATTTGTAACTGTTGCTGCTGCCTGAGAACAGTGTGACTATGACATATAATTCAATGTGTCTTTCCTTTATCCCTTTTTTTCTCCAAAGACCTAGATTGTTGTATATTCCATTAAATGCAGGCATAAGCGTATTTGCCTAATAACCAGATTTTTAAAATTCTGTATGACTTGACAGACTTAAAATTGGCAACACTAGATACACAGTAGTAAGATATATTTAGACTGGGAGTATCATGGTATCAAGACCTTTAGTCTCCAAATCTTTGTATTGTTTGGGAAACTTATTTTCCTGAGGAAAGTTCTTAATCTCTTAAACTATGAGATTCAAAACTAGAATGTCAAAAATATGAAATACTGCTCATCTTCCTGATCTAAAATTTCAGTTTCTAAAGACAGTCCTTGTTCCTGAGACACTTTATGTCATTATAAGTAAATAAGCCATTCCTCCTCAGCTGCATCTGTCAAGCAGCACTGTCAGCCCTATTACTAGGTAGGTAACCTAGTGGTAATTGGACACACATCAACAGCCTGACTTGTACTACAAAGGGAGAAATCATGATGTGCTTCATGCCCAGTGACAGTGACCACTTACCAAGACCAGACTGAAAGGGTGTGAAGACCTGGTTTTCAGCGTATCAGTGCAAGTCCTTCCCCACAGGTCTGATTTCATCTTCGACTACATTTTCCTTCATATATCCTAATGCTCTTTTTCTTGGTTGTGGGTGACTCTTAACATGGCAGCCACCTGTTAATCACATGCTGGCACATCCTATACGTAATGAATTTCCCATGCGCTCCCACACTGAGGTTTATAATGTTTACTCCCAGGTAGATTCCATTATATGTCTTGTTTTCCTTTTTTGTCTGTGTTTTTAATCTGGAAACTGGGAGCACATTTGCAAGAAAGGGAAAGAACAATAAAGGTTCAGAACAACTGAGGAATTCTGTACAAAGAACAACAGAAAACAACTTAATTGTTTTAGTCAGTGACTTGATTAAAAGGAACTCAAGTGTACAGCCGAGACCTTTGACAAATTGTAATTTTTCATGGTTATTTCAAAATAGCTTGGTAAATAAGTCTTATAAGCAGGACTTACTGGCAAAGAAAAGCAGATAAAAAAATAGCAAGTAATAAGAATTATGATATTTTAGACTTAAACTACCCTTTCAATCCATTTGCAGTTCTGGATAAAGTTCTGTAAAGCCGTTGAAAAATATTCTAAGTGTCTCGAATAACATTCCTCAGATGGAGTAAAAAATACTTTGTGGTCCCTTCAGCAACAAGAAGCCTCAAACTTTGGTTGTCTCTGGAGTTAATTCTTACTTTACAGCCCTTGGTATACGAAGTGATTTCACACCATGCCCAAGATGCGGGCCACCCACCAGCTACAAGGCATGACAACTCTGCAGGCGGAACGGCAACCTTGATAATTGTAAGGCCACGGATAGTAACCGCCCAGGGGCTCACAGATCTTCTGGCAGTGGGTGTAGCTCCGCCTACATTCTATACAGCAGATTCCTTCATGATCCAGCCTAGGGTCGAATGTCATGCTTTCCCCTTCCTGCTGCTGTGAAATGAAAGAGAATTACATGTGTCTCCTTCATAATGAGAGGTTTATAGCATACACATTATTTTTAAATAGGATCCCAAATGTTTCACTGCTATAAGAAATCAGCATAATTTTCTTTAAGGAGTTTTCAGTCTTAAAACCTTATAATTCAGAAATCCTCCGAGTATCAAGGAACTTCCACCTACCTAAGCTGTCACTGGCAAGAAGAGTTTTTTGTTGTTTGTTTTTCTAATGTGAAGTTTCTTCATACCTTTAATGAGCCATGGTTACCACTCAATAGTGACTCAGCTTGTTTTCAATAGGAAAACAAAAAGGAAGCATGATTCAAAAGTAGCATTTTTGCCACTGCCGAGGCACCCTGGTGCCTTCGTGTAGTAATGGCTTCCAGGGCTCTGGGGAGCATAGTTTGGAACTCATCGGTCCAGGCTAACGACAGCCTGCTATTCCACTTGCACTGGCTGAGAACATTGTCAAGTCATTTACCTTCTGCCCTTATTTCAACATAAGGGTCTGTAACACTCAGGAAAAGGCACCAAATAACGTGTAAAAACTCACGACCTTCAACTTGACCTTCTAGTTTCTGTGTGTCATAATTACAGTTACATAAGTACAAAACCATATTGAAGTAAAAGTCACCTGCAGAACTCCGTTTCCACTGCTGGAGAGATCACGGAACTGGAAGAAAGTTCCAGTTACCCCTGCCAAATTTACATAATTTCTGCCTTTTCGTGGATTGCTAGGGGTATAGATTCTGTATCCTCTTTAATATGGCATTGAATCACATGGGCAAACAGCCCTTATCATTCATGTAAATTCTGTATTCAATTTAAGCCTCTTTCCTGGAGGAACTGAACCTGGGGAGATGTGGTACCAAACAGGCTAGGCTTGAGCAAAGTGAACTTAAGCAACCCCACTACCTTTTCTGGTGTATAAAAAAAAGTATTCGACTTTTTTTTGGGGTGGGGGGTGCCTTCTATTATGAAAAATTTCAAACATACTGAAAAGTGGAGAAAATTGTGTACTGAACATCTGGAATTGACAATGTGTCAAATTTGATTTTTTTTTGCTTAAGTATTTTAAATTCTGAAGTAAATTTAAAGAAACTTGAAGGCATGGTGACATTTCACCCATTAAAAACATTAGAATATATCTCCAGGATAAGATATGTTCCCACACCACACTGCCATTATCACACCCAACAGAACTACAATTCCAGATACAGCCTGTGTTCAGATTTTGTTGTCAAAATATTTGCCTTACTCTCTTACACCATTAGAGAAAAAAAAAACCCTCAGACTTTCCATTTTTCACTTATCTCTCGAAGTAGGTGTGTCTGTGTCTGGGACAGTAAAAATAAAAACCGCCTCATTAATTGGAGCTGGCTCCTCCAGGAAGGAAAAGTCAAAAAGCCTGTTGGCTGAGGCATTTCCTCGAGGGTTCAAGAGAAGTTTGTTAGGATAAAGAAGTCGGGAGAAATCTCAGGTTCTCGCCCTGAGATATTTCCTTAAAGGGATGTGTGAAGGTCTGAGATCACAGGGAGGTGTTCTTGCTTAAACATCAACACGTAGCAAAGGAAAAAACTGGCATAAGTGGCATTTTTTCCAGAATATGGACCACTCAAGTCCGGAAGCAGGGCAAAGTCACATCTGCCCTTCTGTAAAGGGGCTGATGCCCTCGTCCCTGGAAACAGACACAGATACCCAGCTACCTGGGGAATAAAGGGTATTAAATTTTCTGTCTGCCTATTCAGATTTTCTTTCTCACTCTTGGAGCTTTTGGGAATGAAGTACTGTGGTGTCCTGAATTTCCTGATAAACCTTGGGTTACTTAAAAAAATACTTTTTTCTCTGAATCTTTCTAAAATATACTAGTTTCAAATGATAAACTAGGAAATCTATGTGCAATACATGAAACAATATAGGACTGAATAGGCTACCTAGGAAAGAAAAGGTACAGATGACTTCTCTGTGTGTGAAAAGATGCTCAACGTTACATGTAGTTAAAGATTGCAAGATAAAACAGCCAGGAGGTAGTTTTATACCCAAGACTTTTTAGAAGTTTGAGAGTAAATTAGGCCTTTCATTACCACTTGAAGACATGTAGCTGGTGTAATTCCTTGGAGACAATTTGGTGGCCTCCACTGAGACGTAAAATTCTCATCTACTTCAGCCCAGCAGACCCGGGCGTCAGGATGAACTAAAGCCCCGCAGGGTGCAGGAGGGAGGTGCAGGTCAGACTGACAGCCAACTGGAGTAAGCTGATGCCTGCTGTGTGCCGAGCACTGTGCTCCGAGCTTCACCTGCATTACCTCTTTTACTCCTTCCCATACCCTAGGCATGTACAAGGCGTAGCCTATAAATGGTATTTGTAACAGCCAAAGATACGAAAATAATTTACATGGCCACCAAAGCAGAACTGGTTAAATTTCTGTACATTTATCCACACAATGGAATACAGTGTCACCATTAAAATGAATGAGGTGGATCCATGTAGAGTCAGAAAATTTTCCAAAATGTAACTGGAAAGAAAGCAAAGTATAGAAGTTACGTCTGCTCTTTTCTGTTAAAAATCTGTGTGTGTGTGTGTGTGTACACTTGGGCAAAGAAACTGGGCAAACAGCCATTGTTACCAGGCTGCTCAGGGAAGGGTGTCTGTGTAGGAGGGAACCTCACTTTTCATTGTATACCCTTTTATATTGTTTTTTGAAAAATACATGCCTGTGTCATTTTTTTCAACTAAAACACTAGTTACACATAAATACTTATTTTTCTATTCTCACTCCCTGCAAAGTAGAGTAACGGTAAACTGTTGCTGAAGATTTGAGAAGCTTTTAGCATGTTAGCGTCATCCCTACAAACACCAGTTCTCAGGGTTTCCATCTAAAGTGTTCGACTGCGCATGAGTCTGTCCCCGACTGGACGGAGTGACCCCGAGGGCAGAGGCCCCTCCGGTCTGTCTGTGTGCACAGGGCCTGGGAAAGGGCAGGTCCTCAGCAAAAACGTCTGTTGGACGGATGAATAAAGTGGATATAACGGGGAAAGACAGTACTTTCATTCTGTGTGTTTGCCCGCAGGGCACACTCTTGGAAACATTTTTACATAATCAAATTCCTGATAGGAATGTGTCTGTGTGGATCTGCCTGGGACTCTAAAATAAAGGAGAGCCCGGAAAACAACTTCAAGTAGGGAAAACAGCCAATCAGGATTTTACACTACAGAAGCAATGCTTAAGTGTCCTGACCCTCAGTTACAAACCCTGCAACCAATAAATTAAGAAGTATTTTTTAAAATAATTGAGTAAAAAGTCTCAGTTAAATACTACATGCCTGTTTGACACCTCAAGCAGAAACGCCAGCACTTTAGGGCTGAGTTTAATGCACTCATCTGAGCCAGTCATGAGAGCGCGGTACCCACGTGGTAAGGGTTGTCCGGATTGAAGGGGCCTGAATCCTCCTGAACTCCGGGTCTGGTTTCGTTATTCGGTCTTCCAGCGCCTGGGTTGCCCCGTGGTCCACTGCGCAGTCTTCTTGTGGTCGTCGTAACAATTTTTCTTTCCAATTCTCTTTTTCCTCTCTGGATTTCTGTCCCTCCTACCCCCCCAAAAATTGCTGTAAATTAACTCCTTTCTTTGAATAGTCAAGGAAATTGTGTTTATCGGGGTGAAAAACAGAAGAAAAGGCTTTAAAACACACCTATGACTAGATCCTATTTAAATTCGTACTGACAGGTTTTGTAAAATTAAAGCACGTTTCAGAGTCTTGGGTTAGTAGTTAAACATACAGATAAGAAGAATTTGGTTTATAACACTAACTGAGGCAGACATTGTAAGATTTGAGGCAGACAAAGTCCATTCTCAATTCCCTTTTCCTTTGCCTGCCTTTACTTAGGGGCTGAGAAAGGAGAATAGCACATATTTCCCTAGCCTCCCTTGCAATTAGGAGTGGCCAGATGAGACATAAACAGGATTTGCCAGTGAGGTTTCTGGGAAAGCTTTTGCTTTCTTGGTAAAAGGGGACAGATACACCTTCCTCTGCCTGCTCTGTCCTTCTGAAATGTAGATGTGATCTCTGGCTTACGTGACCAGGAGTGAAAGGCACAAGGTTGACAAGCCAGCGTGCCGCGGGTAGCAAATGGTAAGCTAGAAAGAGACTTGATGATGTCATCGAGTAGTTGATGGTGCCGGAAACCTACCTCCAGATTTCTCTCTATACGAAAAAAGTCAACCTGTAGTTGCGGAAACCACAGCTGATCAGCTATTCTGCTCCTTGGAGCCCTATGCATTCCTAATGGATTTACTCTACATATATAAAGCCTGCAGCTTTCAAAGGATTTATTATTATCTTGATTGATTCTTTTAAAACTTCTATGCAATAGAATAAGCAGATACTTTTGTACATAAGGGCCACAAGGCTCAGGAAGACCAAGGGACTCGGCCAAGATCCCAGAATGGGGGTCGAAATGAGGGCTGAATGTGAATCCCTGGCTTCCCACCCAGTGCCCGAGGTCACCATGCTGCCTCATGGGTCCTGCAGCGAGACCTAGGGCTGCCCAGTGACAAGAGCGGAGAGAGTACCACACATGTGGGCTTTAGCATCTCTCTGAGTCTCAGTTTCTTCTTCTGTAAAATGGGGCTAATAGTTTCTAATTCACAGGGTAGAGACAGAGTTAGTAAGAATTTGAGTCTTAGGGTTTTAGGATAGTGTTTGGCATATAACAGGCTCTCAAATTAGGTGATGACGATGCTATATCGTCTGTGAGAACAGAGATGTGCCTTCCAGCCATGGGTTGCTTCCCCAGAGAGCTTCTTGGTTTCTGAGGCGGGGCTGGAAAGGCATCAGGGAGCCCTGGATTCAAATCTCAACTCCACTCCTTTTCACTAACAATGACCCTGGGAGAGTGATTCAATCTCTGCGAACCTTGGTTTCCTCATCTATAAAAGGGGAATATTACTAGTTCCCTGGATGGTTGTTGGTGAAGATTAAACGAGGACAAAATGTAAAGCTCTAATACAGTGTGGTGCCTGGCACGCAGCCTGAGCTCAGCAGACACGAGCTCCCGCTGCCCCCGCCCTGCCCCCCTTTCCTCTGACCTTGTCATTCCCAGCATCTCTAATATACAGCTGTGCGACACTGATCACCTGCCACTGTAAAATCCAAGGGCTGCTGGACCCTGGAGCTGGGAGGCTTTTATTAGAATTAGGTGGCAGGGAGCCAGGCATCCTCAGAGAGGTTTTATTTTGCTGACTTTATTGTAAAATGTGACTGCATTTATGAGAGATTGGAAAGAAGTTCCTCACTTTTAATGTCTATGATATTCTATCCTATGACTATGCCAACATTTATTTAAGCCTTTTCTAATCTGGGGACATTTAGCTGGTTTCCCCTTTCTGATGTTGTATGTAATATGTGTAACTCGTGGATGGATGGTGTGATGACTGAATACTTCAGATGCCCTAATTAATACTTAATGATGCATCACTGAATACTTATGATGTGGTCACGCTGTTGGGCTGTGAGGGACCAAGCCACATTTTAGACGTAGGAGACAAGCTCTTTCCCAGAGGGTGAAGGGACTCACTTTTTCAGTCATCCTAGCACGGCCAATAGCCCTGTCTTCCCAAACCCACCCCAAGCCCCTTGCCCTGCTCTGCTCTTCTTCCATAGCACCCTGGATCACACCACACAATTTCTTATTTTAGTTGAGTGTATATGTACTATCTCTCCAGCTCCACTGTAAAGCTCCCTGGGGGCATGGATTCTCATCTCTTCTGTTCATCAGTGCCTTCCAGGCACCTAGAACAAGTCAATGACAGGTAATAATGTGTCAATAAATGTTTGCTGAATGAATGTATGAACACACAAACTCTGGGTAAGAGGCTTGTCCTCAAACAGAAAGTGATTAGGGAGAGCTCTGCCTGTTAACAGAGTGGAAGATTTTGACCCTTTAAGAAAAAAATTAACTGCTTTTATTTTTATTTAATTTTTTAATGGAAGTATTGGGGATGGAACCCAAGACCTCATGCATGCTAAGCACACGCTTTCCCACTCAGCTAGATCCATCCACCTGGAGGCTTTTATCCTTGACTGGGAAAGGTGACAAGGCATTGGAGAAGATGTCCCTGGTGGTGGAAAGCCAGGTCCATTCCATGTGGGGGCGAGGGGAGAACTGAAAGCCAGAACTTGGTAAATGGCCAGAGAACTGAGTTGTGACCAACCACCGGGCAAGTCCCCGGATGGCAAAAGTGATGGTCCATTTGGCAGCCCCAGCTCTAACCCCCTGGAGTCATGACAGTCACCGCACAGAGGATTCTTTCTTACTGAGCCTGCATGTGACCTCAGAATTCTCTCAACCCACTCTTCCAGGCAGCCACTGCCAGAGGCTTATCAACTGCATCATATTTACTTGGCCCTGGGCTGAAAAATACCCTCCTTATCCATCTTATTCAAGCTTTGGAGCTGAATAAAACTTATGAACTGTAGGAATAAGTTAGCCACAGTTGAATCAGAAGCCTGGACTTTCTAAGCCTGGTGTTTTTGTTTTTGTTTTTCCTCTTCAAATTGTGGTGAAAACATATCTGCAACTTACCATTTTAATCATTTTTTAAGCATACAGTTAAGCGGCATTAAGTACATTCACATTATTGTGCAACCATCACCATCATCTGTCTCCAGCTTTTCATCTTGCAAAACTGAAACTCTGCAGCCCTTAAACAATACCTGCCCGTTCCCCGCTCCTGAGTCTGGCGGTGTTAATCCCTGGATTTTCTTTGTTTCCCTGCTGCTCTCGCTCGGTGTTCAACAGAATCTTTCAGAAACCATAGCCTGTCTCAGCTGTGCCAGGAGAGAGGCCTCCCTACCACCCACTAGCGCTTGAGCCAGAGAAACGAAGTAGGCCTCTGGGAGGCCAGTGGGGTGACTGTGGTGGAAATCAAGAGGGTAGCCCTGGGGACAGCCGGAATCCGAAATCCAGGGAAAGAGCCTGGCATGCAGAGGGCCCCTGCCCTTCCCCACCTGGAAGCAGCTCACAGGTGGGCTCCGACCTAGCTCTGACCCCCAGAGGTCTTTCATTGATTGACCTTCCCCAGACATGCAAGCTGATACTGAGCCTTGACCTTGAGGAATCTCAGTCTATGCCCACAGCTGCCTCTGGCTGTCACATAATTCGAGGTTTGAACAGAATCAAGATTTGGCAGTATGACAGCTTCTTGGTCCCTTGATTCTCTGTCTTAGGATGAAAAAAAATTGTAAAATTGCCAAGTGCAAACAACTGAGATTGGGGCAGAGCGGAAAGAAGTGGGCGTGTCATAAATAAAACCCGCAGGTGATGCCCAGGTGAGCTGCCTCCCCACCTGCTTCCTGTCACCCCGATGCTCAGGCCCTGCCCTGTGACATTCTTCCTTCTCTTTGCTCTCTCAGGCCAATTCCTGAGACACTGCGACATGCACCCGGATTTCTCCTCCTTGTCACGTACTCAGACCTGCACAGGGGCTCCCGGGAACCCCAGGGAGAATTCCAAGCAGTGCTAAGAGAATTGAAAATGTTACCTTTTGGATAGGTTGGTTTAAGCCAGAAAATAGGAAGGTGACCGCAGAGTTCTAAGACTTTAGAACTCAAGAAGCTGTTGTCCTTCACAGGCTGGTCTACAGCCACCCAGATAAGAGAATTTTCTTCGTATTTGACTGGCATGATCTTGCCTTCCTGTAAGTAAGTCAAAATGAAACACAGTGAGCGAAGAGGACAGTGGAACAGGCTGCATATTGAGACTCATGTGTTGGTAAAACATTATTTTGCCCTATGAAAACTTAATGATATTCATCCATCAAAATTCATCAAATTGTACCTCTGAAATATGTGTAGTTTACTGTACAGAAATTATACTACAATACAGCTGTCTTTTTTTAAGATAATAACAGATACTAGAGGGAAAGACTTACTGAGAATTCTGGATGTGTACGCACACATGCATGCACACACATGCGTTCGAGCACACACACACACACACACACATACACACACACTCTAAGCTTCTAATCTCTTTTCTTTGCAGCTCCCTTCACAGTATTCCACACCCCTCCCGTCACCCCACCTTTGGAAAACTCAGATGTGTGGATATGAGTGTCCTGAGTGGAAGTGAAAATTACTTGATATCAACTCTGAGATTTAGGTTAATCTGATGTCTTTGATCAAAGATGGTTTTGAGGAAAAGCAATTGAATGGACTCTGGAATCCGATAAAGGCTAGACAAGGAACCCTTCATCTGCAGGGAAAAGTCCTCTGGGCGCTTGTTCTGCCACTTCTGAACAACAATGGAAAAAGCAATTGGTTCTTTAATGTCTTCAGTTCAAAGCATTATTTAACATAAACCATTTCTACATTTCCCAGCTATAACAAAACACATTTCAGATGTTCTTCGCATCAAGCACACCACTGAGATTTCAAAGGTAAACCGTGAATTCTCTTCTATGGCGAGATGCTGAGAATGGTCTGATAACCCAGGAGACAAATTTATTTTGCCGACTTGTTCCTTTCATGTATTTATTAGTTTGCAATCGGCTGGAGAAATTAAAATGTTTTCTCCTTATTTTTAGGTAAAAGCAGCATTTCATTTATGCCTTCTCCCTCAGGCTTCTGGCTGCATTAAAACAACTTAAAGTTACTGGAGGCAGCTCACGTTGACGTAACCCAGTTATTTACCTTACATTAAATGGTTCCATCCAGGAAGTGAATGCTCTCTGGGTATAGTAGCTTTTCAAAGCTATACAAAACTGATGAAAAATGTATGAAACCTAGTGGTGCATAAATCTGTCCCATCATAATCTGAAGTGTGCGGGGACAGAGTGGGGCGAGAGGCAGAATACATATACGTGTGTCCTACAAGCTACGAGTGTTAAATAAAAAGTATGAGGAACACACTTTTGGCTGCCCACCCCATCCCTTTCATCCCCTCCTTTCCTTGCAACACAATCCTGCTTTTGTTTGTGACAGCAGTGTGCCAGCCCCAAGAGACACCAGCTTTCGCAGACTCCCCGGCCGCTAGGGGGCGCCCCTGTGACCAGTTCTAGACAACACCGTCCACGCTGAGGTGTGCTGAGGGGCTGAGAAGCCTCTGCTTTTCCCCACTAAAGGTAAACCACAGCTGACACTGCTCAGCGTCTTCCTGCCTTCCTTACCTGAATGCATGGTTGACGTTTAGAGCTGGAAGGAGAGGCCAAAAAAATGAAAGATGCTGGCCACTGACCCAATACCTGTGGCTGCCTACTCCCATATTCCGTGTCATGGAGGAGAACAAATCCTTATTTGTTTTAGTCACTCTCAGTGGAATTTTCTGCTACTGACAACCAAACACATTCCTAATTCACACATATGGTCTGAATTTGGTTTTGTCCACCAAACTTCCTATAAACAACTAAAACACAGGAAAAATAATTCACCTCCATGGCCTAAGAAAAGAATCAGAGGCAGACCAAGATTTAAACACAAAACTATTCATCCCAGTGAATTACTTCTGTATTCAAGAAAAATTATTTTGATGGAACATACCTGCATTCAAGAACAAAAGACTTGTAAAATTATAATCACATGGTGATTATAATTAAAAATTTTCATTCATATAAATTTAAAATCATAATCATATGGCAACATACAACACATCCATTATAATCTACATTTTGGGAGACCTAATGGTAAATGAAAATAATAAGAATGTGCAGCAGTATAAGTTCCATTATGAAAAAAAATCACACACACTTGAACATGAAGACAGTTTACCAAAACAATAAAATTAGCTTTCCATGGATTATGCAATTGTGGGTGATTTCCTTCCCTATTCCCAAATTTTCTACAATGCCAAACTGTTGTTACAAATCAGGGGGAAAAACATTGTTAAAAAAAAATTTTTTTAAAGGGATTTCTGGTCAATAATGGCAGAGTAGCAGGACCACGAGTTCACCTCCTCTCACGACTACAACAAAAGCACAACTGACTGCTAAACAAACGCTGGAAAAAAAAAAAAAAGACTGGAACCTACCAAGAAAGATCATCTTCAAATGAAAACATGAAGAGAAAACCACAGCAGAACAGTAGGAGGGGCGTGGTCATGATGTAATTGGGCCCCATATTCCTAGTTGGGCGACCCGTAAGCTGGAAAATAATTGAATTGTAGAGCCCCTCCCATAGGAATGAGAGTTCTGAGCCCCACATCAGTCTCCCCAGCCCCCGGTTGTGGCATTGGGAGGAGGAGACCACAGGACATCTGGTTTTGAAGGCCAGTGAGGCTTAATTGCAGGAGCAGACTTCCCTTTCTTGGGAAGTACACACAGTATCTCGTATGTGCTGGGACCAAGGGCAGAGGCAGAGATTTCATAGGAAAAGATCCATGGACCCCAATGTTCATAGCAGCACTATGTACAATAGCCAAGACATGGAAGCAACCTAAATGTCCATTGACAGATGACTGGATAAAGAAGCTGTGGTATATTTATACAGTGGAATACTACTCAGCCATAAAAAATAATAACACAGTGCCATTTGCAGCAACATGGATGAACCTAGTGATTATTATTGTAAGTAAATTAAGCCAGAAAGAGAAAGAAAAATACCATTTGATATCAAATATGGATTCTAAAAAAGGAAAAAAAGAAGACACTAATGAACTTATCTACAAAACAAACAGACCCACAGACATAATAAATAAACTTATGTTACCAGCCAGAAAGGGGATGGGAAGGGATAAATTGAGAGTTTGAGATTTGCAAATATTAACTACATATATATATACACATATGTATATATATATATATAAACAATAAACAAGTTTCTTCTATATAGCACAGGGAACTATATTCAGTATCTTATAGTAACTTATAATGGAAAAGAATATGAAAATGAATATATGTATGTATGTGTATGACTGAAACATGCTGTACACCATAAACTGACATGTTGTAAACTGACTATACTTCAATTTAAAAAATGAATGAGTTATGTTTAAGGAATCTCACAAGTCTGACACACAGAAAAAGAATTCAGTATATGTTGAATAGCCTCTTTGGGCTGAACTTGAACCAAGAGGAAGAAATTGTAGGCAGAGCCACCTCACCCCAATGTAGGGCAAAACAGTTAGAAGTCCCTCCCACGAAGTTGTGGGACACACAGGAAAGCCTGTTGCTGCAGAGGCTGAGGGATCAGCCGTTGGGAATTTTCAGGAGGAATTCCCAGTCTGAATGGTCCTGAGGCTAGCCCCTTTAATGAAGATTCTAACATGTGAAGTTCTTTAGGTTGTCTTAATTATTGATCAAAGAGTTCCCTAACATCAGGCAAATAAGGGCCATGTGAAAACCAAGCCCCACTATGCACTTTAAGACATGGTTTTCCAAAACCTCTAATTACATCATGTATGCATGATCACCTGGAACCAACGAGCAGGACCAAAATAGTTGAGTTCCTTTGTCAAAGGAGAAAGAGAGCTTAGGTTCTGGTCATGAACCTATCCAGGAGCCAGAGACGTCACACAACGTCTGCCCAATGCCTGCTGTCGGGAGCAGGCCGGTACCCACCAGCTCAGAGGAGATGCTCTGCTTGGCCACGGTGCCCACCTCAGGAACACGAGCCTTCACCTGCGCTTTGATGTAGCACTTCTCCCCTCCAGCAAAACGGATTCCTGTGATGCCCTAGGAAATAAAAGTTTATCCATTCATCTATCCATCCATTCACTGAGTTGGTGTATTGAGTATCTACTGGGAGTTAGGCACTGTTCCAGGTACTGAGCACAGGGATGAACAAAACGGACGGGGTTTCTGCCCTCACGTTGCTTACCTTTTAGCGTTATTTACCAAAAATAAAAAACAGAGATAAAGTCAGGTGGTGTTGAGTGCTATGGAGAAAAATAAAGCAGAGTATGAGATGGGAATGACAGGGGATGGTATTTAGACAGTGTGACTGGGGAGGTCTCTGCCAGGGGCTGGCACTGAGCTGAGACAAAGTATGTTACCTGCTCCATCTATCCTACAAGCTCAGATGAAATGCTATCTTTTCTACGCAGCTTTCTCTGATCACCCCAGGCTAAGTGGGCTCCCCTTTCTCTGACTTCCTGAAAGCTCTCCTGACTTCACCCTTCACTTGGTACTTAGTTCTCAGTGCCGGAATGGTAGCTCCTTGTGAATGTCACCTCTCTACTCAATTATAAGCTTGAGATTGGTCTGAATTTTTTCTCTTTTGTTTTTTGTTTTTCTTTGGCAATCTCACAGAGGTTCTCAAAAGATGCAGGTCTAATTAATTAATTGCCTGAGTTCATATTTTTCTTAAGTTGCTAAGCCCAGAGTAAACTGTAGCTTTCAACAACCCTGGGAGCTGAATTTTGCTCCTAGAGCTTATCCAGGAACTTGGATGTTTTGTTTTTGTCCCCTGTGAGATATAAACAGTGTCTCCTCATCTGCCTAGGGACCAGCCTCAAGGGATGTCTCAGCCACCAGGCTCCAGTTTTGGCTGACAGCTCGGCACTGATTCTGCCCGCCGAGCGCATCAGACATTAACAGTACATTCTGACCCAGGCGTGTTTACTTTCACTCTGCTGGTTAATTTCGTGACTAGTGAGTAGCCAAAAAAATTATTAAAGGTCTACAGATTTTATACCATAATGATGTAGACACCAGCACAGATCTGAACATCTCTACTCACCAATCGTCTGTTGAGTTGAGACAAATGTCAGGAAGATATAGAACTTGTTCCAGCATCAACACCAAGGACTGGGAGGAAGAAAAGCATTTAGCAATCTCAAGGAGGAGGGTATAGCTCAGTGGTAGAGAGCATGCTTAGCAAGCATAAGGTCCTGGGTTCAATCCCTAGTACCTCCATTAAAGAAAAGAAACCTAATTATCTCCCCCCCAGTAAAATTAAATTACAAAAAAAATCTAGGGGCCCTGGCTGAGGATTCAACCCTCCTAAATGAAGAACGAAGTTAAATATAAGTCACGCTTGAGGACATTCATGGAAAGTTACACCATACATACTCTCAGAGCCCAGGAGCCCTATGAAAGCGGGTGGGTGACTGACGGGAGATCAGAGAAGGAAAGGATCCTTCTTAAAGCTCCTCGTTACTTGCCGTGCAGTGTGATTGGCCACATATGCATGTAACGCATTTAATTCTCTCTCCCAGCATCACCTCTCACCTGGAGACAGGCTGGGAGACAGGCTGGGGTGTGATCCTGCTTTACAGAGGAAGAACGCCAGGCTTACTGCAGAGGGTCTCGACTCTGCACCGCATTCACCTGGAGAGATTTTTAAAAACACAGCTGCCTGGGCCTCTCCTCAGAGATTCCCATTTCACTGGCCTGGGGCAGTGCCAAGGCACTGGTATGCTTAAAAGCTCCTCATGTGTTTACAGCCAGGGTTGAAGGCCACCAGTTTAGCAAGAAAGAAACTTCTTCAGGGTTAACAAAGGTTTTAAATGGCTGAAACAGCCTGCTATAGACCAAATGTTTGTGTCACCCCAAGATTCATAGGTTGAAACCTAACCCCCATGTGATGGTACCTGGAGGTGGGCCTTTGGGAAGTGATGAGGTCAGGAGGATGCAGCCCCCATCAGCAGGATTCGTGCCCTTATAAAAGAGACCCCAGAGACTCCCTCCTTCTTCTGCCACATGGGGACACAGTGAGAAGGCAGCTGTCTGTGAGCCAGAAAGCAGTGCCCTCACTAGACACCCAACTTGATGGCACCTTAGTCTTGGATCTTCCAGCCTCCATAACCATGAGAAACAAATTTCTGTGGTTTCTCAGTCACCCAGTCCATGGTAATTTGTTACAGCAGCCCCAAGGGATTAAGACACAGCCTCTGGACCCAAGTTTCTTTGGTACCAGTGGCTCACACACTTTCCCTTGCATCACAATCACCTGGAGGACTGTTAAATAAAACAGTGCTGGGCCCCTCCCCACAGAGTTGCTGGTTCAGTAGGTCTGGAGTGGAGACTATCCTGTGCATCTCTAACAAGTCCACAGGTGATGCTACTGCTGGTGGCCTAGGGAGCACACTTTGAGAACCACTGCTGTCTACCATGTTATCTGCCAAAGGTCTGCCATTCTTCTTTTACTTGTAAATCTAGGGCACATGGTTTGAAAAACAAAAGGCAGGGGAGGATGACTGCCCCTCCATGTGATATGCTCTCAACTTCAAGCCCTCACATCCTCTGAAGGTGAGCTGCCAGGAGGAAACACCATACAGCCATTACCATACCCCCAGAGAGAGAGTTGATGTTATTGAAGGATTCACAGCCCTGAACGGGAGTCTAGTACTGAGTTAGTTCTGATGCAAAGAGAACTGAAACCCGGTAGGGATGGGTCCTGCGGGAAGGAATTCACACATATTAACCACGAAGTCTAGCTACAAACCCTTATCAAGCAGCCAGATACATTACGAGATTAAACAAAGGGAAGGAAAAAGCTCAAGAAAGCTAAGCAAACTTCCTGTTTTTGCAAACAAAGAAGGCTTAGCAGCTGGTGATAATGAAGAAATTTGCTCACAAAGGTAATGGGTGAGGAGTCCAATGATTAACATTCTATTATTGAGTCAGATAATTTCATTTGAGCCGCACATTTCTTTTTTCTTCTAGGGGATCTCATATATTTCTGTGACTTAAGCCAGAACTTCCCAAGGAGGGCAAAGGGTCCTTCCCCTAGGGGAGGCGCTTTAGGAACCTTTGAGGGAGTTTTTTTTATTATCACAAAGATTGGGGGCTCTCCAGGCCTCTGTTGGGCCCGGCCCAGGGATGCTGGGTCCCCACTCTCGGTGGGGAAGCCCTGAGGAATGAACCCACCCAAGGGTCCTGGGTGGAAAACCTGATCGGAAGCATCTATGCCTAGAACCTCACACTGCTTCACATATAAACACAAAGGGAGTTTCAGCATAGTCTTAATGTACAGCACATTTCCAGGGAATGGAATTACTGTGAAAATGGAGAGGAAATGGTACTTTTGTTCTCTCTTTGAGAAAATTACCTGATATTTATCAACACGCACTTAGGTCAGTCTGCATTTTAGCCAGTGACACAGGCAGTGAGTCAACTATCAGAGCAAACATATGACTTTGTGACATTTTCACATGCATCAGGCCCAAGTCCAAATTTACTATATAAAGTACTTCCACTTTATTTTTCCTTTGTTACAGTTTGGTGACCATATTGATTCTTGAAATCAATAAACTACTTACCTACCAGGTACACTGTGCTGTTCTTTTTGTTTTTTCCCTTCCAACTTTTTAAATTAAAATGCTTCAAATATACCCAAAGTCAAAAGAATTGTAGAGTGAAAATCGGCATCTACCCACCAGTTTATTCCATCTTAATTTCTAGCCAAGATTTTGGTTATAGAAATGGGTCATTAGGCCTGAGAGGGTTGGCTTAAACCAACGGCACTGGTGCTACTGAGGATACAGCTTTCTAGAATGTAACTCATACGTTATGAACAGGCCTGGTTTCTGTACTTCTCAGGGCATGAAGACTCTCCTGGACCTAACTCTAGTCAGGCTTTTCCAAGTCTTCCTTTTACTAGGCTCCAACTTTGGGCTCTGTCTGGGCCCGTTTATTCCAGCTTGAGCAAGAGGCAGTCTTGGTCTGCCCATCCTCCATATCTGATCCACCTTACCTGCCTGTGAACATCCTGTTGGGTCAGTTTAGCAAAGAGCTACTGTACCTCTCAGTCATTTTCCATCCACCAACACCCCTACTCTGCTCCTTGGCTAGAAGTCCCCGCTTTCCCTTGGTGTCTTCAGAGTTGAGCCCAGTGTCTCTCCCCTAATACAAAACCCCACAGCGGAAGCCTCCCCTGAATAAAGTCTGCCTTGCCCCCTTGAATCATTCTTCCTTTAACTGTGTAGACTCTTGGTTCAGTGCTAGTTCCATCTCAGGAGTTTCTTTTTCTATCAGCTCTACCACAGTCTTGGTGGGGCTGGCAGGGAAGGCCGTTCCTTTACAATTCAGAACCTTTCCTGCTCTGGCCCTACCTGCATCCCATCTTCTCCCCTTCCCCTCCCCACCTTCAGGGCTATTTAGAACTTCCGCCACACCTGTGCACAGGTCTTCCCTGGGCCCAGAAAGCCCTGGCCCTGCTTCTCTGCCAGTCGAAATCCTAATCACTCTCCACTTGATTCAACTGTCACCGCCTCTGTAAAACCTGTTCTACCCTCTGATCGGCAGCAGTGGCCTCCTCCACGATGGCTCCGTGGCTCTATTCATAGCTCCGTGGCAGTGCATTTCCCAGCCTGGCCTGAAGGCACTTCTGTGCGGGTGCCTGCCTCCTGGACCAGACTGTAAGGTCCCTGAAGGAGGGAGCAGGTGTCAGTCACCTTCGCATCCTCCATGCTTAGCACCTTCCCTCAGACACAGCCTGCCCCAATAAACGCTTCCTGAATTTGACTGACGGTTTACAACACAGGAGAAAGCAGTGCAGGTACCCTAATGGCTGATTCATGTGTTTTCAAGAGTCCAGGCTTATTTAAACCCGTAACAGGTTCTATCCATCACAAAAATGTTCTACTCACCAGTTCTGACTCAGAGAAATGTGGACGCTATCAAAGAGAATTGATCAGTTTATAAAATATTTGCAGCCCCATTGGCCTCTGAGAACAAAACACAATCAATACCCTTATTAGAACCACAGGATTATAAAACAGAAATATAGGTTTGGGATTAAAATATTTTCGAAGGAGATGCCTGATACATGCACATCTTGAGAGAGACAGATCTTTCCTGATTTATCCGTGAAGCTGCCTTTGCATGTATTGATACTGTGGCACTTTCTAGGTATTCAGTTTTGTTCTGGATTGAATGATGCGCGTGTGGGAGTCATATTTTATCATTTTATATTGAGCAGTGCAAAGTAAAAATGCTTTTTACCTTGTCCCGGGTCTTGCAGTAAAAGCCTTTAATAGGTCCAGAGAAATTATCCTTGTGCCTTGACCAGAATCATTTGCAAAGCTATGACTAAGCAGAATGCAGCTGGGCACACACAGGGCTGCCGAGTCTGGCCCCAGGGCAGAGCCCACGCTGAACACAGCCAGTCCTCGGCATCATCAAATAATGTCTAACATCAGCTCGGCTCTAAGGTTAGCATCTGTTTGGTATTCAGAAGGGCTTATGAAGTGTGTTTGGGTATCAACAAGGGGAGTTCTTTCATTCCAGTGAAAAGCATCTCTAGTTTTTCTCATCAATCAGAGGAAGACGGGTCGATGAGATGTTTGTAGGCCAATAAACTATCAGAAGAGACATGATTTTCAAGAGCCTTTTTTCATTATGAAGTCTCACCTACTCCATCTACAGATTTAACCGGAGAACACAAATACTGATGCTGCTGTCTCATCCTAGAACACGAAAGAGAAGAAGATATTTTATGTTGGCTATCAGGAAAGGAGGCCTGGAGTGACACTTTGGTTTGCAGATGTACACTGAAGCACGAATGCATGACTTAATGTCTCCAGTTGCCTGTAAATTGAATTTTTGAAAACAAACATGTTTGCCCTTTTCAAAGGAGACGTGAATGTTTCATCTGTAAATAGACCGTGGTTAGAAAGCATACGATACAGTGGGGGAATTTCTCCATGCTCGTTTTCTGGACTAAATGGGAAATCAGAAGAATTGAGGAAAGTGTGTAAGCAGATCCCACCCGTTGTTGATGAGATCATTAGGGCAGCAAAGTTTCCCTCCTCTCTGACAAGTGCCGATTTCAGACCCTGCAACACTCTCGGGTAGCTTGAGCGTTTTATTCACTGTGTTAAGAAAGCTGCTTGGGAAGAAACAGCTCTTGCAAGTCTTTCTGCCAAGACTTTGCAGAGTTCCAAGAACGTGTTCCAAGTACGTGTTCTGTTCAGTGCGAAGGTGGTGTTTTTGCAGTTTGCAAATGTAAAGGGATAATGAGTGGTCCTTTCTCAGAGAGAACATGCTGCACGGTGCATGGGGCTCGGTGGCACTCTGAGCGCCTTAAAGACCACAAAGAACAGTTACCATTCGGATGTGTGTGAGAGGTGTTCCTTCTGCCCAGATTAGAAGTCTCCCAGGCTTGCCTGGTTAAACTCCCTAAATGCATGAAATATACTTACGTTCTGGAAATCATTAACTTCAATTGCTTCTTCAGCTCCGCTTCCCATTGTAAAGGTCTCCAAGTTGTTCCCCGCATCTATTTCCATTGACCCATCTTGTAATTTCCCATTGATACTCACGGTGTAATGGACATTGTAAATCTGGAAGTGAACAGAAGAGTTAGCGGCATTCCCTTTTAGAGCAATTCAGGGTTTATCTTTAGACCTGCAGTATATAAGGGAGCTTTCATATTTATCAGAGATACACTGAATCACCCTTAATAGTGAGGCATTTATCTGTAAGGACTTCATTCATACATCAATCACTTAACACAGTGATGTCTTTAAAAATATCTTAGAAGTAAAAGCTTTGATAGTCTCTGAACTAATTCAAATAGCTCAGTGATTCGCAATCCCGGCTGTGTATAGAGGCGGCTGAGAAGAATCGCCAGTTACTACACCTGGGCTTCCCCGACTGGACCCATCCAGCCAGAACCTGTGGGGATGGTGCCTGGGCGTAGATCTTTCTTTTTTCTAAAGGTTGATTCTGCGGTGCAGCCCGAGTTGAGACCCACTAATGGATAAATGGAAATTGAGGAGGCAGTTAATCGTGCTGTTCACTGAGCAAGTCTGAAGGCTTTTTTTTTTTTTAATCTTTTGGTCAAGATTCAACATGGAGTGTGGTGTACACTCAGGACTGCAGACGGGACCAAGGTATGCCCGATGGCATTTATAGAGAGCACGGTCAATGCACACATCTGTTTCAGCTCAAAATAAGAGGTACTCATTTTAACGACCCTATGGGACAGGCATATGGCATCTTAAGGCATTTTGTTATCAGACGTGTGCAGAGAAGGGAGGGAGGCTTGGCATCCTACAAGAGCATTGGTCAAGGAGTCAGAAAAACAAGTGGCCACACCACTCACCCCTGGGTCTTGGGAGCTGCCTTGAGTGTAAAATGATGAAGTGGGACCTTTAGTGGTGGTTTTCATTTGTCCTTAGAGCTCTGGGGCTTCACAGAGGTGGCCCAGAGGTGAGGCGAGCAGAGCAGTGGGGGACAGGTAAGGCTCCTTTACACACCCCTCTCCCCATCTCGGCCCCCCCCCCTCACCTGCCATTTAACCAGAGCAGCTCTGCTTCTTACCTGACTTATGTGTTGGATTTCTGAGTAAAAGTCTCTTTTAAAATTCCACCATGAGAAAAGTTTTTTTAAAGTTTACCACTAAATTTCAAGATCAGGGGCTCTCTTGGTTTAGACATCTTGTTAGGACATCAGTTTAAAGAATAATTCACACACTGCTCTTGTTCAGTGCGCTGCTTCTCTGCTGGAACCTCCTCTGCGTTGTGGGTAGTGAGCGGGTCCCTTTTCTTCTCCTTTCTTTCTCTGACTTAGCGGCATATGTATGTGGATATCTTATATATGATATATATCTCTAATGTGATATATAAGACATACAATCTTTAAAAGGGAAGGAATGGGAACTGATGAAAAACCCTTGCTACTTGGTGTCAGGTCAGCAGGTCAGAACTGCAAAGAACTTAGATTCAATTCCAGTGTGATTTTCCCCCTCATTATAAAGAATGGCTGACTGCTGCACAGACAAACACTGGGGAAAGTATCTGCTTTTACTGGATCATTACTTGCAGAAAACTCATTATTACAAGACCCACAGAGCACTACTTTACTTTAGCAGCAGAGATGGAGAAACGGGGTTACTAGCCAGGACCCTTTCAGGCAACAGCCTTCGTTCAGCGGAAGAGAAAATCCCAGCGTGCAGCGCAGCCACCTCTCAGCGCCCAGCCCTCCCTCCTCCGGATGAACTTCGATCCCTGCAGTGCTGTCTCCCCAGCTCACCTGATCACAAGAACCGGTGCTAGGGGTCCTGATTTAGGGGAGTAGGAGCACCGCCCCGCCAATCTGCTTTCACTTTGCACCTCAGGGGGTCCTAACCATCAGCCAGTCTGGGGAAACCTGTTTTTTTTTGGCTGCGCCCGCTCTTTCTGCGGGTCAGGCTTAGAAAGCGTGCTCTGTTCCGTCTGTCCCTGCGCTCTCTGAGCAGCCACTATTCACCTGAGTTAATTCTGGCTGCCAGCGGGAGCACAGCGGACAGCGCCCGTGTGAGTTTCTGCTGGCACAAGTGTCCTTCCTTCACTCATGAGACAAGAGGCGCTCTCTCTCTCTCTCTCTTTTTTTTTTTAAAGCATTGCACATAAGCTTTTTAAAGCATTGCACATACTAAAATAATCCCAAATTTAAGAAATTAACTGTTTCCAAATTCTTAGCAGGTTTTTTTTTTAACGTTGGTACTGGGGACTGAACCCAGGACTTCATGCATGCTAAGCATGCATGCGCTCTACCACTGAGCTCCCCTCCCTCTTCGCAGATCTTAAGGAGACAAGACTGTAACACTAGAATTATGGCTTGTGATCTTAATTTCACTTTGCTCCACATTCTCCTTCCCTCCGCTCCGTCCCCTCCCCCTGCCACCTTCCTCCCAACAAAAGCTCCCTAACTAGGCATGGGTATTGCATCCTTTGTAATGTAGCTTCCGTCTGTCTCTTATAAATGGTACCCAGTCTGCATGGGGCAGCAGTGAGAGGTTTGTGCCCTCCTGAAGTGACTGGGTGGTGGTGGTAGTGATGGTGGTGGTAGTGATGGTGGTGGTGGTGGTATAAAGTCAGAAGTTATTTCCAAAGTACTGGGCCCTGAGCTCAGAAGGAGGCTGGGTTGGTGGAGCAGTAATCACATTATCTGCTCTAAACTGATGGAGCTGTTAGCACCTAAGGCTATTTCTATCCTAGCACAAAAAAGTTTATTATGTGCCAAAATTCTGCTCAATATGGTGCCTTTTACAGCCAAGGATACTTGCTAATGAGTTTCTAATAAAGCCTAGGTTCATAAGATAATTACATCATGTTTGGGACAACGTCTAGAAAACTCAAGCTGAGAATAAAGGCCCCAAGCAATGATCTCATCCCCTCATCCCACAGGGTAGGCTTGTCAGTTACCTCACGTTGGTGAGAATTTCCCATATTTCAATGCCTTGTTCCATTTACAATAATGTGGATGAAACATGGCCTCAATATTTGAGCCCAGTCACTTGTCCCCTGATTATTAGCACTCCAGTGCCTCACAGTCCCTGAGCTGATTTTGAGTAAACCTGTCCTAAGGGGATTTGTCCATATGAAAGGAACAGGAGGTAAATTACTGCTGGTTCTCCTCCATAAACCAACATAGAGGAGCAGAGGCAGAGGTAATCCCCAAAGACTGGTTAGTCCATTTGGTTGGGGATGTCTTTCTGTTTGACAGACACTTACCTTTCTTGATTATGTTTTGTTTGGACTATTTAGATTTGTATTCAGGGAGAGCAGGACTGTGTATGTGCTATGCATTGCTGGTGCCAAATTTACTATATTGAGTATTTTGTGATTTGTTTTTCAGACTCAAGTAATATGAATCAGCATGGGATATTTGGGGAGTTAAAAAAAAACACGATTTTCTTCATTCTCCTGTCTGTATAGGAAATAGCGATAACTTCCATTGTTGGCAGTAAAATGTGATTCACTATTCCTCTGTACTCTTAGAATTTAATACTGCTCTCTTGAACCAGACAACTAACCATCTTGCAGTAAAGTAAAAGCTATGGGAAAAGGAGGCCCTGCTCATTCAGGATGATCTTTCAATCTCTTGTTCTAGAAGCTTGTCAGTTAGCTGTGTTGGCCCTGAATAATTAAATGCCAAATCGTATTCATTCTAATATATATCATGACCAAAATCTCCATCAAAAAAAAAAAAGAAAATCTATTTTTATCCCCAAAGGACCCATACCATTGAAGTTTTGTCCTCTAAAAGATAGCATTTACATTCGAATACCATACAATTTCCTGAGGGATGACAATCTAAACCCTGCTATTAATGGAGATGGAGATATTGAAATCCTTCTCATGTTCAGATATGCTGCATTCAAATAGGAGCATCTGGCAGCTTCTATATTTAAAATACAAATACATTAAGGCACTTTTCAAATATACACAAAATTCTGATCTTTGTAAATTTGATATAGTCTCTGAAACAGACTCAGAGCTAAATGGCACGCTTATCTACATCAGGCATTTGAGTTAAAAATACAAATTATGCAGTGACTGCAGAAGATGTGATGTGTAAAATGGCTGAATTGCTTTCAGCACCATTTTCTCTAAGTACTGGAATTCGCTCAGGCTTTGAATTTCCTGGGGGAGGTGGGGAGCGGGGGACGGGGGCAGCAGTCATAGATCTTCCCAGGGTAGTGATTAAGAAACAGCCCTTTGTGTGCACCCTAGAGATGGAATTCTTTGCCATTAGTTGAAATAAGCTTATACCAGGCCTGGCAACGGGCATCAAGATAAAATGCCCCCTTTGCCGAGGTGAACAAAATTCAAAGTATTTAGTGAACACCCTGGAATTCTGCCCAGTCAGGTTTGCAGCACTTTTTATACTCCTTGAGAGCCAACCTAGCTTTAAACTAAACAGCTGCATACAAAGAAAATGGGACAGCATTAGTGAAAAATATACCATTAAATCACATGTGACCGGGCCAGAACTGATTTTTAAAGAGATCTGCCATCTTTAAGTAAGTTAGACTAATTAGACCTTCTTCTCTCCTTAAAGCAAGAGAGAAGGGTGCATTAAAGGGTGAGGAAAGAGAGAGGAAGAGAGAGAGAAAAAAGTCCCGAGAGATCAAATTCGTCCCCCAACTACGAGATTTGAATATTCCTCCACTATCTTGGTCCCAGGTTCTTAAATTCACAGCCTTTCTCAGCAGTTTCATTTCTTCCCTAGGGATAAGTCAAGCGAGGCCAGAGGGGACGCGCTTTACCCAGGGACACACAACCGATTAGTGGAGATACCAGGCTGAAGTGGGCCAAAAAGGGCCTTCCTGGAACCGTCCACTGCATTTCCCCGCTACTCTGTTTTAACATCCTCCCTCGAAGCTCTGACAAAGTTGCCTGTGAGTGGAAAGCGGCGTCGTGGAGTTGGATTGGAAGAAGGGAGAAGGTGCCCAGGGAGGCTCCAGGGGAAAGCAATTAACTGGGGCGAGAGGGCCTCTCTGGCGCCACCTAGGGAGGAACACGCGAGTGACCACGAGGACCCCGCCACCCCGCGCGCCCCCAGGCCCCGCGCCCCTCCCTGTCCTGCGCACCCCGACTCAGGCCCGCACCCCGCACGCCGCCCCCTGGACTTACGTGATTGTCGCTCCCCTTCCAGAAGTAGAAGGCCCCGATGGCTCCGAAGAGCAGCAGCACCGCCCCCGAAATGAGGACCACAGCTCCTACCTTGAGCAGCCGCGCGGGGCTGGAGGGCTTCACGGACACAGTAGCGTACGCCTGCGGGCGGGCCGGAGAGGGACGGTCACGTCCGCGCGCAGCGCCCCGGGGTATCGGGGGTGGGGGTGGGGGAAGGTAGAGCTAGCCCACCTACTCCCGGCGCCCCTTCTCGCAGCTCTCCCGCCTCAGGCTTGGATGTGCGCTGAGCAAACTTTTCGCGGTGCAGAACCATCGCCCCGCGGATCTTTTTCCTCCGCCGGCCACCCGACGTCCCCTCCGCACTACCTTTCCATCCCCTCGTTCACACTTGTCTGGTGATGCCGCACCCTTGCACACGCGCACGAGTGGGGCGCCACCCCACAACCACATTTGGGCGCCCAAATTTGCTCCCAGCTCCCAAGTTCGGTGGCACAAACTGTGGACACGGCCCAGGGGATCCGGACCCCCACGGGAAGCCCAGGCCCCGCGTGTCTGGGGCTCCCGGGCGGCACTCACCGGGGGGCTGCAAAACTCGACGTCGTCGGGCCCCACCAGGGCGATGGGCACTTTGTCCGAGTTCTCTGTCATGGCTGCAGCCGCAGGAGCGGGACACTGGGAGGCTCCGCGCACGCCCTGGGCTCTGTCCTGCTGCCCCGACGTGCTGGGCATTTCAACGCGGTGCACACGCGCGCGCACACTCACACCGTGCCCCGTCCCGCCAGGGCCAGCCCAGCGGTCCCCACCCCTTCCAGCGCCTCACCTCTCTCCTCGCTTCCCTCTCCTTGCCTGGAGCCGCAGTGAGCTCTCCCTGCATTCCGAATGCCCCCTCTTCTCGCTCTCTCCTGCCTACTGGTCCCCCCCCCCAAATATCCTGGTAAACCTGAGTGTGTCATGGTGGGGATGGGGGTGGGAGAGGGTGGGTAGAACAGGAATGCTGACTCCTACGACCCTGAGAAATGCTAAATTGCCAGACTCTTTCCACCATCCAGGGATCTCTTACGATGTCAGAGGGCTCTGCTGCAACGCCCGGCTGGAGGCTCATTTCCTGCAATGTCCTTGTATGTGTGTTTTAGGGGCTGGTAGAACAAGACACAGGAGAGCAGGCTTGTGCAGGTGGACACGGGGACACTGGCCAAAATTTGCCAGGGTTTACACCGGTCCAGCACTGCTGGATGGCCCCGGGACGAGAGCATGGGAAGAGTCTTAGAGATGGGCCCTTGTCATCTGTTACAGTAGAAGCCTTGGCAGAAAGGTAGAGCTGCAGGAAAACTGAAAGCTAAGCAGAGGGGCTGGAGAGGAGGAGTTGGGGAGACCAGAATAAGAGTACGTTCTGGCTGACTGACACACATACATCAAAGCCACTGATATGTCCAAAGGAATAGTTTAATATATATATTAAACTATATATATATATATATATATTTGCAAAGCAGAATAAAAGAGAGTTGTGTTTTGTTTTTGTTTTTGTTTTACTTTTGGAAATGTCATCAGCCAGCACTCGGACAGCATGGTATCTCATTTGGATTCAGACTTTATTAATTGATATTGGGTTCTAGATTTGTGCAGAGTCCCCCGCTGAGGAGTAAGGGCTGGGGCGCAGGGGAGGGCTGAGGTCTCCTGAGCAGAGGTTGGATGGCTGGGTGGGGCTGCGGCAGAAGGAAGTGTTCGGTTAGGAGGGGTTGCTGACGAGAAGGAGCACTTGGTGACAAATATGATGACAGTGGGGCTGGGAAGGAGCGGAAGATTAACAGAGACTTGTGCAGAAGAATCTGTAGGACCTGGCAGGTGCTGGGCTAGGGAGACTGAGGTTTCAGACCTAGGAGGGCTGGAGGTGGGTGGGAGGGGCCCCCGGGAGACGAGGCAGTTGGGAGGAAGAGTTTTGAGAGAGAGAAAAATGGGCAAAGGACAGGAACAGAGAATCCACAGGAGAAGTTCATATGGCTCTTCAACATCAGAAAAGTGCTCGACCACATTCATAAAAAGAAGTGCAGATTAAAAGTATTCTTTTTCACCTGTCAGTCTGGCAAAAATAAAAACACGTATTCAAACAATCTGTTGGAGAGAGTGAGGGCAAACGAGGCCCTCCCCTACATCGCTGTGGGTGGGTGAATGAGTACAACTTTTATGAAGGGCCATTTAATTCCAAAATGCAAAGCATAATTTCATTTCTGTGGATTTATCCCACAGATGCACTCACAAGGCTGAAAAAGTCCTATATATGCAAGGATATTCATTGCAGCGTGTTTGTTAGAACAAAGGACTAGAAACATCTTTAGTGTCCACAGCAGAGAATTTATAGTACATCTTCACAGATGGATCTTAGAAGGCATTTAAAAGCATGAAGCCAAACTGGGCTTCTGTGTGTGGGAGAAGTTGATAGCAGTTGTATGAGAAATACAATATGGGCTTTCCAGAAGTCGTGACCATTTGGAGTTGGAGAATGTGAAGATGGCAAGACGCCATCATCAGCTGGGAACAAGCTCAGAGCAGGATAGAGGGCACTGGATGATGCTGGGAGTGACTGGGTGTATTAGTCTGGGTTCTCCTGAGACACAGAACCAATAGGATATATGTAGATATAGAGAAAGAGGTTTATTACAGAGGATTGATTCACATGATTATGGAGTCTGGGAAGTCCCACAATCTTCCATCCAAAAATTGGAAGTTCAGGAGAGCAGGTGATGTAAGTCCTGAAGACCAGAGAATCAGGAGTGCAGATATTTGAGGGCAGGAGAAGATGGGTGTCCCAGCTCAAGTGGAGAGAGTGAATTCACCCTCCCTCCACCTTTTTGTTCTATTCAAATCCTCAATAGACTGAAAAGTGCCCACCCACATTGTTAAGGGCAGAGCTTCTTGACCTAGTCTACCAAGTCAAATGCTAATCTCTTCCCCCTAAAACGCTCCCAGTTACCTAGAAATGTTTTACTAGCCATCTGGGCATCCTTTAGCTCAGTCCAGGTGATGCATAAAATTAACCATTTCAAGGTGTTAATCAACTAGATGGGGGAAATCCTTTCCCAATGTATACATATACTGAATCACCACAATGTACACTTTAAATATCTTACAATTTTACATGTCAATTACACTTCAATAAAACTGAAGAAAATTAACCATCATAATTGGGTATTGAAGATGGTCTTGGGAAAGGCAGGCGGTCAGGGGCTAAGTGATTCTAGGGTGTGGGCTGGAAAGGGAGGTCCTTGAAGTGGGGAGGGGCTGATGAACTTGGAGATTAGAGAAGGATGGGGCAGGAGAGGGAAGAGCTATGGAGGTGATAATCACAGAGGGATAACACAGAAGATGAGATCTTAGAGGTGGATTGGTTCTGCATAGAAATGTGGTCTAAAGTGTGGAGTTCGTAACATAGAGGGTTGGAGATGATGACAATTCTAGCAGTTAAGGATACTGAGGTTGGAGTGATTTTAAAGTTGTAGTAGGCATGGTAGGGATGTGATGGAAAGAAAAACTAGGAGGGAGTTGCAGAAATTGTTAAGGAAAGTGGGAGAATGTTCTGCATGGAACTCCCTAGCCAGGGGTGAGGGAGTAAAAATGGTGTGAATGGATGCACAAACATCAGAAGCAAAGACTTTGTTCCAAGAGGGTGGTGAGACCAAGTCCTGGCATGGAGGTGG